TTGTAGATGATTCCTGTGTGCAAGTGCATTGAGCCACTCCGTGTGCCAAATTTCCTCTTCTTATGAGAACACCAGTGAGAATGGATAAGGGCCCGCCCCTAATAGCCTCATTCTAACTTAATCTCCTCTTCAAATGGCTCTGTCTCTCTATGCAGCCACATTCTGAGGTACTTAGGGCTAGGATTTTTAACATGTGAATTGAAAGGAACAAAATTCAGCCTTCACATCTAGGTAGGCCACATACTCCACGTCCAGCCTGGACTCTTTCAAACCACCCATGACACCTTTCACGGTTGCCACTTCCCTGCCTGTCATGCTGCTGCAGAAAATCCAGGATGAGGCCCTGAGGCTCTGGAAGACAGGCAGGCCACACCAGGGAAGGAGCCTGGGTCCTGAGTGGATGTGCACGGCAGCGCCCTCCCGCAACCCGCCCTGGACAGGGTCTGAGGCAGTAGCGTGCACTGAATGAAGCCCCTGAGACTTCAGGGTTGAATGTCACGGCAGTTGGTAGGTCCCCACTGATCCAGACAGGTTTATTTGGGCATCTTCACCAGGACTCAGCCAGGCCTGCGGCGTGTCAGGGCAGGGAACCACGTACGTCGGCACCTGGCTTGCATTTTAATAAAGGTTGTGACTGGAGTTGCAAGGGCTTAAGAAAAAACTTCCAAACACTCAGTGAGAAAATCTGGTATTCATCTTCCCTAACAACATTCTCCAAGTAACAATTTTTTAAAAAAAGATAGAGGCCGGGTGCGGCAGCTCACACCTGTAATCCCAGCACTTTGGGAGGCCAAGGCGGGCGGATCACGAAGTCAAGAGATCAAAACCATCCTGGCCAACATGGTGAAACCCTGTCTTTACTAAAAATACAAAACTTAGCCAGGCGTGGTGGCGAGCGCCTGTAGTCCCAGCTACTCGGAAGGCTGAGGCAGGAGAATCACTTAAACCAGGGAGGCGGAGGTTACAGTGAGCCAAGATCATGCCACTGCACTCCAGCCTGGCAACAAAGCAAGACTCCATCTCAAAAAAAAAAAAAAAAAAAAAAAAAAGAGAGAGAGAAACAAAAAGAAAGAAAAAGAAAAAAGAAAAGAAAAGAAACAAAGAACAGCAGCCTTCCTTCCTACTAGCTGTAGAGGAATCACGCTGAGTGTCTACATTGCTCCCAGTTCTAGACAGGCACCCTTGTGTGTCAAGAGAAAAATATCTAAAAATCTTAAAAGATAATTTTTGAGATTGTGCAGTGCATGTGTGATGGGGAGTTCCTTGCGTCTGCAGAAGTCTGCTGCCACTTGATTGACGTGGCTTCCAAGGCTGGTTCTGTGGAGAGCCGTCCCACCCAGGTGCTCAGCCTGAAGTTGATCCGCCCCACGGTTCTGGTTGCAGGGGTCAAGAGTCCACCTCCCTCAAACAATTCTAGTCAAGTGTGCTTTCCAGAAACGGAAATCTTTACTATTTTAGCACCAATAGACAAATAAACACACATTGCACGCGTTTGCCTCCCCACCCCCTGCAGAAATAAACACCCCACTAGAGGACCAAATCCGAAGCCAGGCTGAGGGAGATGTCTGGGTTTCGAGGCCGGTCTGGTGCCTCAGAGAGGCAGTGTGGCACGAAGGTCAGTCACCTGGACTCTGGCATTAGGCTGTCGGGTCCAGAAACTCTGCTGACCACCGGGTAGCTGCCTGTGGCTTGGGGAAGTTATTTCAGCTCTCTGAGCATCAGATTCTCCATCTATAGATAGACGTGGTGATAACAATAACATCACTTCCCACAAAGGGTTGTATGTGATGAAACAAAATCATGCATAGAAAACATTTAGCCGGCCGGGCGCGGTGGCTCACGCCTGGAATCCCAGCACTGTAGAAGGCCAAGGTGGGCGGATCACACCAAGTCAGGAGATCGAGACCAGCCTGGCCAACATGGTGAAACCCCGTCTCTACTAAAAATACAAAAATTAGCTGGGCATGGTGGAAGGCACCTGTAATCCCAGCTACTAGGGAGGCTGAGGCAGGAGAATCGCTTGAACCCGGGAGGCGGAGTTTGCAGTGAGCCGAGATAGCGCCGCTGCACTCCAGCCTGAGCAACAGAGTGAGACTTTGTCTCAAAAAAAAAAAAAAAAAAGTAAACAGTTAGCAGAGCCCAGAGTGAACACTCAGTCAAGATGAGCCATTTTTACCTCCTCCTGCTAAATTTGACTTTCCTTCCTCACTTCAAGAACTTCCAACTTCCCCTGTTGCTTCAGTTGCTGGTGAGCTGTTTGCAGGACTCCTATGTCCCTGGGTGTCCTCTGGGTTCTCCTGCCTGCGTCCCTCTCCCTGCTGCCCAGACGCCAACACCCAGTGTCCTGCTGAGTGCAGGGTGTGTGTGCCTTCCACCTGGACACCAACCAGTTTCCATTCTGTGAAATTTCCTCTTCTTCCTTGGCTTTCACTTCCGCCCACTGAAAACATTTGTGAGTTATTTTCTTTGTTTAACAAACATTGAGTATGGGTGTAATACAGTTTTGCATTTCTAGCCTAATTGTTACTCTAAACCATCTCTTAACTTCCATATGTAATGTTTACTGATTTATAGCAACTGTATATATAATTAATCAGTGTACTTTGGATTACTAGTTTTTGATATGCTCTGTATTTGTTAGTCCTTGGAAACCTTGATGAATGAACTATTATGTTTACATAATATGATAATGACATGGAAATAGGTTTGCTGAAAACATAGGGAAAAGCTGCCCAAGAAGCCTCTGGCTCTTCTTTCTTGGCTCTGGAGGCTCTCGGCCTGGATCCTGTCACCTGCAGACACTGGAATAAGTGTGTTATCCAGCAGACCTCAGTGAGTTTTGGGGGAAGACCCAGAAAAGCCCTAGCTGCGTGAGACGGCCCAGCCTTTCCCTTTTTCTGGCACTTGCTGGGCCTCTCCTGGCAAAACATCCCAGCCTGGATTCAGCCACCGTCCAGATGCTGAGCCCCATCCCAGAGCCTCTGAAGAGGAGGGCTCCCTGCAAGTTGGCCTGTGCGTTTGCTGAAGGGAAGCAGCTCCTGTCTGCCATGGTACCAGCAGCCCCAGATGACCCCAGCTCTCACGTGTGTTTGAGAAAGGCTTCCCGCTCGTGCACAAGCCACACAGGGGTTGCCGGGAGTGTGCGGCCTCCAGGTGAGTGTGTGTGTAAGTGGAGTGTCAGGTGGAGTCTCTTCAGCCTCCCTCTCTCTTTCTCTCTGTCTCTTCTCTCTCTCAAAGATTGTTTGGCTTGGATTCTCACAACACTATCACACGCAATGTCCCAAATGACTCTCAGCACAGCCCAGGGAGCTGCACAAGGGAAGAAGCTTGTGAATCACACGCCAGCTGTGCCAGAGGCCGGAGGCTGCACTCTGCTCTCATCCTGTGGGAAGGGACAGGCACCCAGGACCACGATCCTGCCTCCTCTCCCTCCAGCCCACGCTTCAAAGAGCTGTGACCTTGTCCTTATGGGCTTTACAGGACCTCGTGGCTCCCTAATGCCTGAGGCCCAAGTCCCTCACTTTTATGTGCGTTGATGGTCTTGCCACCTTCTTTGTTCATTCATTCATTCAAAGAACATTTCCTGAGTTTTCTGGAAGAAAGTGGGACACACTGGAAGAACAGGTGTCTGGGAACGCTCAGACCAGATCAGTGTGGATAGTGGATTGGGGAGTTGGAGGGTTGCAAAGAAGTCTGACGCAAGGAGACCAGTTAGAAGGGTGTATTAGTCAGGGGTCTCTCAAGGGACAGAACTAATAGGATAGATAGATATATAAAGGAGAGTTTATTAAGTATTAATTCACACGATCACAGGGTCCCACCATAGGCCATCTACTCACTGAGGAGCAAGGAAAGCCAGTCCGCGTCCCAAAACTGAAGAACTTGGAGTAGCATTGACCAGTCACAGAGGGTGCTGTCAGTCTAGAGGAGAAAGGGTAAGGTCCTAAAACAAGGTGGTAGCAGAGTGGTCAGCGTGGCTGGGGAAGCACCATGGGTCAAAGTAGCCAAAGCCCATGGTTTTCAGCCCATTCTAGAGTCAGATACCTTCCCCCGACTCTTCTGACTACATCCCCCCACCGCCCCAGGAATGGCTCTGGGGCTCCACTCAGGCCTGGCGCACACTCCCTCTCTCTAAGGCCCCGTTAGTTATCAACTCTGACTTCCACCAGCCACTCCCAGGCCTTTTTCTACAGACCTCACTATTTCAACAACATTCTTGGGGCCCCTGGTGGCAGTCTGTTGCTAATAAAAAAGATCTGAGTTGCAGATGCGTTCCCCAACTGTGCCCATCTGCCTCTCAGATACTGCGTTAAACCTACTTCAGGGCCGGGCACAGTGGCTCAAGCCTGTCATCCCAGTACTTTGGGAGGCTGAGGCAGGCAGATCACGAGGTCAGGAGATTGAGACCATCCTGGCTAACACAGTAAAACCCTGTTTCTACTAAAAATACAAAAAGTTAGCCGGGCGTGGTGGCAGGCGCCTGTCTTCCCATCTACTTGGGAGGCTCAGGCAGGAGAATGGCATGAACCCGGGAGGCGGAGCTTGCAGTGAGCCGAGACCATGCCACTGCACTCAGAAGCCTGGGTGACAGAGCGAGACTCCGTCTCAAAAAACAAACAAACAAAAACAAACAAACAAACAAAAAACCCTACCTCCGAAGCCTGGATGGAAGTGATTCATTTTGCAGAACCCTGGGACTGGGTAATACTGGTTGTTTTTAGGGTCTCCTTTGTTGGCCTACTTTTATTGCACCCCCTATTTTTATTGCTTTCTTGGGGCTTAAGAATCTTGACTCCATCGTCTGGGCGCGGTGGCTCACGCTTGTAATCCTGGCACTTGGGGAGGCTGAGGCAGGCGGATCACAAGGTCAGGAGATTGAGACCATCCTGGCTAACATGGTGAAACCCCATCTCTACTAAAAATACAAAAAAAATTAGCCAGGCGTGGTGGCACACGCCTGTAATCCCAGCTGCTCGGGAGGCTGAGGCAGGAGAATCACTTGAACCCAAGAGGCGGAGGTTGCAGTGAGCTGAGATCGTGCCATCGCACTGCAGCCTGGCGACAGAGTGAGACTCTGTCTCAAAACAGAGTCTTGACTCCATCTTTCCACACAAGCCTCCACTTTATTGGGAAATGTCAATTACTGAATCGATAAAAGAGATGTGCGCTAATTTGCAGAGCACAGTAAGGCAGAACATGGGCTGGTGCTGAATGTTTCAACTGAAATTAATAAGGAAAAAACTAGGTAGAAATTTAAAAGCCAGGTGCAGTAGCATGTGCCTGTAGTCCCAGATACTCTGGAGGCTGAGGTGGGAGGATCACTTGAGCCCATGGGTTCAAGGCCAACCTGGGCAATAAAGTGAGACTCCCATCTCTTAGAAAAAAAATTGTATTGAATTTAATAAGAAAAAGAATACTGGGATGGGCAATGAATAAACTTTGCTGTTTTCAGTTTTTGAGATAAGAAAGGAAATTGAATATGGGAATATCTCAAAACAAGGAAAGTTTCAAAGGTGTGTGGTACCGGAAGAACCATTGCTTGCTGTAGCAAAATAGGTTAAACACGGGGTTTGTGCCCCCAAGTTTGAGATGCTTGCCCAGAGCCCGCACCATTGCCTTGCTCCAGCTGACAAGGGCTTTGGAACGCGCAAAAGTGAGTCCTGGGCCACACTGGCTTTGAGGCTCATCCGGCCTTGGCAGGGGGGACTAAAGAAGCGAGTAAGGGGAGAAGAAAGGAGCCATTTGGGGGGAAAAGGAAGACTTAAACACGGTCACCCCCAAACACAGGGAGGGAAATAGGGGGTCTCACTTTCAAGAGTCCTCCCCATTTTCATGAAGTCTATTTTAACATAAAATCAGAGAATCTTAAGCTGCAAAGAGACAGTCAAGGGTGCCTGGTCCAATCATTACCTAACAATGTTTGAATTATGTTTGAATCTCTTCTGCCACATCCTTGGCAAAAGGCTCTGTCTTCTGCTCAAGCACCTCCAGGAACAGATCCCTTGCCACCTCCCAAAGGAGCATAGACGTCATCGGCAACCCTGGGGAAAGCAAAATACTTCATCACGCCTTGTGTTCTGCATCTTTGTACCTCTGCCTGCCTGTCCCAGCTCAGACGGACAGGGCCTCAGAGCACAGAGCAGCTTGCTCTTCCCAGGATGCTGCTTCTGCCATTTCTCCCTCACTCCAACCCCCAAGAGTCCTCAGCCTTCCTCAGATGGCCCAGTCTTCGGCCTGTCATCACCTGGAAGCAACCTGGCATGTCATTGTCCCTACTACTGAGTGACGCGGAGAGCCTCACCGGACCCTCCTGATAGGACGGGTCTGCACCTAAGAGAGCAAGCTGCTCGCTTTTCCACAGCCGCCATTCCTCTGCTGGGCCCCGGGTGCTCCAGCTGGCTCCTCTCACAGCCGATTGAACCTGCATCTGGTTGACCAAGACCACAAGCCTTCCTCAGGTGTGCTGACCTTAGCTCCAGGCCCTCTGTCTGGCAGGCTTTGCAGATCCCCGGAGGGGCTTCAGTCATCTTCTAGCCAGAGAATGGAGAGAAGGGGCCAGTCGGCAGCTCAGTCTGTCCAAGGCAAGAGTCAACGTTGAAGAAGGAACAGAAAGTAGTGGAGGGCCGCCAACCCCAACCTGGGGAAACAGGGAGAGGGAGAGCGCTGGGGTGCTGGGAAACGCTGCTCACTGGGAGTCAGGAGACCTGGGCCCTGTTTCAGCAAACCTCCCCACCTCCTCTTTGGAACCACTTTTGACTCCCTCCCGGGGAGAAGGAATCTAGCTGCTCCCGTGAACTGACGTCACCACCACAGCAGGACAGGGATAAGGATGGACCTACAGCTGTGTGTGGCCAGTGGTGGGATTTTTTCATTTCTCTGGCCCCATGGCTTATCACAGTGCCTGGGCCATAGCTGTGCTCAGAATCTATCTTTTTCACAAAACAGTGAGTTGCAGAAATGCTGGGACTCGCCGGGGCTCCCATGGCCAACAGATAGCAGAGCCAGAACCCAGGTCTTGGCCAGTCTCCCTCTTCTCATGGCCTCAATCCAACTCAAGTCCAAATGGGTCTATGGCAGGTTAGCTCATCCCTGCGTATGCCCTGGGCTGCATACACAGAACCCGCTCAGTGAGTCCACCCTCACTTCTCATTACTGTGAGCCTCCATGTGTCGTTTTAGCATGTGCATGGGGAGACCACCAGGGTATAAGGAGAACAGGGTGGGCCAAGTATGGAAACGCAGCAGTTTGTTCTAGGAGGGCACTTGACCTGTGTTTAGCATGGCTTTCTTTCCTCTCGTTTAGAGTAGGGCGAATCCTTTATAAAATAGAGACATCCCAAAAATCAGACGCCAAGCTCACTGCCCTGAAGTTAAATCGCTGTCCTGTTTACTCAGAGGAACGCTGTAAACCGTGCCTTTGCGGTGGATGGAAGCCATAAGCTTTATACCATAAAGGTTCACAGCTGCTACAGCTCGACCCTCAGCACCTCACCCCACTTTTCAGGGGCCAGTCACTTGAATGACAATAGGAAAGTTAATTCGTTAAATATGCCCTTTAGTAATTATTATTTTTCCGAATGCCTTTACTGAGGCATTTTGAAAACCACATCTAGACGGTGAGAGGGGGGCGGTGCACGGGAGCAGGGTTACCTTAAACAATGACACAAAAAGATTTTAAAGGTCTCTCCAGGTCCCTCTGCGCAGTCCCACACGCAGCCCTAGGACGCTGGCTGCCAGGCTCCATGGTCAGGGCTCTGCTTCCTATCATGAGTCCTTCCTGCTACTCTTCAGTGACTCCATGAACTGGTCTGTTGCTAGACACGCCTTACAGATGAGGAAACTGAGGCTCAGGGCTCTTCAGTATCATAGCCAGCATCACATGGGCGTTAAGCGTAGAACCAGTATTGAAACTCGCTGTTTGACTCCAGAGCCTGTGCCATTCACCACCGCTCTGGAGCTGGGTCCAGAGCACAGGACGTTTTTTGGACGCCTGCAGTCGTTTGGAAGCTATGAATGGTGTGTGTGTGCGTGTGTGTGTTTTTGAAAATGTATGTTTTTTAGAAAATGTAAAAACTCAGTTTATTTAATCTGTATTTTGAAAAGTATCAAAAATGAGAAACATGTTTTTTGTTTTCTTTTTTTTAAGAAACAAAAAAGGCTGGGCATGGTGGCTCACACCTGTAATCCCAGCACTTTGGAAGGTCGAGGCGGGTGGATCACCTGAGGTCAGGAGCTCGAGACCAGCCTGGTCAACATGGTGAAACCCTGTCTCTACTAAAACTACAAAAATTAGCCAGGTGTGGTGGCAGGTGCCTGTAGTCCCAGCTACTTAGGAAGCCAAGGCAGGAGAATCACTTGAACCCGGGAGGCAGAGCTTGCAGTGAGCCAAGATCGCGCCACTGCACTCCAGCCTGGGCCACAGAGCAGGGCTGCATCTCAAAAATAAATAAAAACAAAACATTCTAACTTATGCTATGCTTTAGTCTACCCATAAACTCTGTTAATATTTTAGCTTAAAAAGGCATATAACACAGGGGAAACTCAGCAAACTAATGAAAAGCCTAGAAAATGATTAATAACTCAACTGACTAGCCAAGGGATGCAGGCTCCCAGGAGTTTCTTGGAAACCCAGGCAGGCCGTTTCATAGCTCTCATGAGCGAGCCTCTCTCACTTGCCAAGCCTTGCGCTGAGTGCTTTAGCAAGTGATTGCACCGAACCTTTACAATAACTCATTTCTGATGAGAAACTGAAGTCCAGAGAGGGCAGTTGACTTGCCAAAGCTAAGAAATGAAAGAATCGAGATTTGCAGCCGGCCTGTCTGATTCAAGAGCCCGAGTGCTTTCCACCAGACACAATTCACTGCAGTGTCCACAGTCCCCGGATAATTCGGCTGAGAACAAGAGCCAGTGAGTATCATGACTCCTGGGAGAGAACGAGACCAGAGGACAGCTTTAGAAAATATCCCCTTGCCCCAGGAAGAGAAATGCCCACAAGGGACTCAGGACCAGCCTTCAGGTCAGCCCTGAGTCCTGTGAGCAGCAGGGAGCAGAGCCAAACGGGCAGAGGAGATGAGAGAATGAGCAGCAACGGCAAGGGCAAGAAGAAAGGGAGAGCTGTTAGGTCAGGCAGACGTGGTTCGAATCCCGGTGCCTCCAGGTGCTAACTGGAGCAGCCTCAGTCAAATTATTTAACACTAAGCCTCAGTTTCCTCATCTATAATTTTTTTTTTTCTTTTTGAGACGGAGTCTCACTTTTGTCGCCCAGGCTTGAGTGCAATGGCACAATCTTGGCTCACTGCAACCTCCACCTCCTGGGTTCAAGTAATTATCCTGCCTCAGCCTCCAGAGTAGCTGGGATTTAGGCACCCACCACCACACCTGGCTAGTTTTTATATTTTCAGTAGAGATGACGGGGCTTCACCACGTTGGCCAGGCTGGTCTCAAACTCCTGACCTCAGGTCATCCACCTGCCTCGGCCTCACAAAGTGCTGGGATTATAGGCGTGAGCCACCATGCCCGGCCTCCTCATCTATAATTTTATAGATGAATTTACCTGAGAGGGCTCTGCAAGGATTAAATGAGATGAGAAGCAGAAAGCCCTTAGCAATGTAGTTTCTATACATTGTACCAGTTCTTATTAATTTTTAGGAAAAGGACGAGAGGAAAGGAAAGAGAGAGAACATAGAAGTGTCAGCATGGGGAGGACTGCCTCTACGCCTGCCATCCGAAAGCCTCTGGACTTCCCTGGCCCAGGGCTCTGCAGGACTATGAAAAGATTTCCGCATATTTGTTAATTCTTAACCCTAAGTTAGTGAACCAATGCCAGCTGCTGGCTTAGTTCATGTGGCAACTGGGGAGGGCACCCAGTGACGAGACAAGATCTTCACCCTCCTGGACCTTCCGTCAATCTGGTGGGGGTCATAATGTGTGCACACATGCCACCACCACCACCCGGGCATGGCCATCCCATCGGGCTTGACCTGGAGAAGGAGCAGGCTGGGGATGTCGGAAGCCATGTGTGCAGCGCTCCACGCTCTCCTCGTGAGAAGGAGCCATGGGGTGGTAAAAGCCCTCGAGTGTTAGTCCCCAAATTCCATTTAGCTCAGTTGTGCGCAGTGAACATGTGAATGTCGAGGGTGTCTGACCTTCTGTAAATGAAGAGCATTTCAGGAAAAATCTCGAAGAAAAGGCCACCAGGAAGCCTCTCAGCTTCTTCACATCTTGACACCCACCTTGCACTCTTCCTTGAAGTGGTCATTGTCACCAGTGTCTGCCGAAGCACCGCTGGCTCCCAGAAGTGGTCATTGTCACCAATGTCTGCCGAAGCACCGCTGGCCCCCAGAGACGGGCGGCAGGTGAGGGGATGCTTTCCATTCCCAGGGTGAAAGGAGGACAGTCATGCTCCTTTGGTCCCCTTCAGCCTCTGCTGGGGATGTGCCCAGGACCTACCCACACAGGACGCCACCAGACCCAGGGTTTCTGAGGATGGGGTGGGCCCTGGCTGAACATCGTGTCCTGGCACTAAGGGTCGTGCCTTGACAAGGACTCCATCACTCCACTGTTTGAAACAAAGAGCTCTGTTGGAGCACTGATACTCACAGCCAAATGTTTTAGGAGGAAAACAAATGTCACCTTCTTTTCTGATGTGATGTTTTCTATGGGGCTAAGGGTGTGGGGTGCAGGTTTCTCGCTCTGAGGCAGGTTGTGTCCTTGCGGGAACAGGGGCGTGCTTATGCGGAAGCTGCCTTTATAAATGGCTCATGGTCGTGGCCCTGGAAGAGCCTGGCGCCTTCCCGCTGTCTGGTCTGGAGAATCCGTCAGGCTGTGCCATGATGCCTGCATCTGAGAATGAGCCGTCTCACCCTAAGTTCCCTCCGCACTGTCTGCTGGGGTGGAAGGCAGGAATAGCACAGCCTGCGATGGAAGCCTGCCCGTCTGGGGGTGGAGATATGGGAAGACAAGGTTGTGCACTGGCCTCCCCCCTGCAGGGCAGTTTTTGTGCAAGGGCTTCAAAGGTTGCAAGCCCCAGTTATTTTCCAAGCCTACCTTCTTTGAAGAGGTGCCCCAGATCCTGTTAGCATCTCCCCAGTAGATGGGCCCCTTCTCCTGACTCGAGGTGTGATCCAGAACTTCCTGAGTCTCCCACCTCCTCAGGCTCCAGTTGGCAGAAAGGGAAAGAGGCCACTCTAGTTCTATCCTGTGGTCCCCAGAGCAGAAACGGAAGAAGGGCTCAGCATTCAGAGTCCCGAGCTTTCAGATGGGTTCTCAGAGCTCAGTGCCCAGGCCCGCTCTCTGCTTCCAAAGACATAGAAAAGTCAGGATGGAGAGACCTTACAGGTGATCTGGCCTATTGCCTCTCACACCCCAGCCAAGCTGCCATCATGACATCCACCCTCGATGCAACACTTCCTAAGTGCCAAGCCCTTTACTGACTGATTTTTTCATGGAATAGTTCACTTAAGCCTCTGGAGCAACATTATAAGCTAGCAGTTATCCATCCTGTTTTCAGATGAGGACAACGAAACTCAGAGACCTTACTGCCTTTGCCTTGTTCAGTGTCACACTGCCCCTACAAAGCATTGACGAGGATCAGATTCCATAGCCATTTGATTCCAAATTTCACGTTCTCCTTTTGTGC